CTGAAAATCGATATCCAGGGAGGCATTTTTTTTTTGCTTTGGGCTTATATCTCTTAAACTAAAGATATATAGCAAAAGTCCATAAATATAGTTTGATAGACAGAAAGTGTTGCTTCTAGAAAAAGACTCATATTTCAAAAAGGTGTTGCCAAATCGCCAGAAGAGTTTGTGCCTCATGGAAAACGTGTGATGTTTGAGGGTACTGCCGACTGCCATGACTGATTCACCCGGGAACCAACACCCCAAGTACTGGGAAGGTGGCATGGGAACCTATACAGCCTCCTGTATAAATTCTATTGAAATTTCTGCATTTTTAACTTAAAGGAGACTTTTTATTAATTCTTCAATCCGGAAAATAGCCCATAATAAAAATTTAAATAGAAAATGTCAATGAAAGCAATTCATGTACTATGAGAGCTTGAAATTGAATGGGCAGTAAGAAGGACAGAGGGTCACAGCTAAGCCAAGAACAAATAAATCCGTTGATTTGCTTGCTAATCTATGGAAGAACTCTCTTTAGCATGTTCTGAAGGTCATCTCTATTTCTAATTTGCCTGTTTTCATCCCGTCCTTCTGAGAAATTGGAGCCCCGGCTGCCCTTTCTGAGAGCGTCGAATGCCCTCTGTGTAATTAGGTGAGCTTCGGTGCTGACCCCCGAGGTCTGTGGTGTGATTACAGATGTACAGAGGGCGCGGGGACATGCACAATTCAGAGCTGGCATTTGGATGTTAATGGGGGCTAATGAAAGCAGACGGGAGCCACCCCTTCCAGGAGGTGCACCCCCAACCATCTTCCCTCAAGCAGTGAAGTCGTTCAGAAACGAGTCCAAGTATATTGTGTGAGGACATTGCATGTATCAGGGAAGCCGAAGAGTGGCACATGGTCCCAGAGGGCCTCTCCTGGGGACCATTTCCAKCTCACAGTCTCAGCTTCTCTGCGCCTCACTACAGTGACTGGAGAAGAACCAACCTAGTGGGGTGCAGCAGGGAGAGGGGTCGGGAATGGAGCTCCCAGGTTAAAGGCACAGATCTGACAGCAGGCCCTGTCCTCACCAAAACAGAGACTGGCAACAGCAAGTGCCCTGGCCCTACCACAAGAAGCAGATGCGCTAGCCAAGACCCTAGGGGCCAAGGAGAACACGAGCTGGCCCTCAGGTCCAGCCTCAGGGAGGGGTGGTGCTGACCAAGTCACCCTCAGGTATCCGCATGACACATTGCTGATTCACTGGTGCCTGAAATGCCCCTGGTGCCACCAGTGATTGTCACTAGTTTGATTTGTTGTTTTCAGCAGATGTTTTTGTTATCTTTGCAAATCCTGACTTAGAGACACCATTGTACCATCTGGTCATCTGAATGTGCTGGACGGCAACTCTAAGTCCAGGTGAGAGCCTGGAGTAAGAAAAGCCCCGGGATCGGACTTCCGTGCTGTTTTGTTTCTTTCCTTCTCTCTTTTCCTTATGCTCCCAACACACTCCCCAAGGCCTCAGAGCTAAAGTCACAGCCGTCGGAAGATTCAACAAGTGGTAGGTTTTAAATGTTCACTTTTGATTCAAGAGTTCAAAATCTTGTTTTCTTTTGTTTTCTCCTTTCATAGTTTCTGTTTCCGTAGGTCTACAGATAACATCCTTTGCACATGTGTGATGTAAACATTTTTCATAGGTGCACAGGAAGTTAATAAAATATAAACAGAAAAGTACCTCCTAATACCAATCAATCTCTACTTTCTGGCAAAAAGAAAAAGAAAGGTGTTTATCACTCTGCAAGAAGAGAAGGCATAAATGAGCCTACTGGAGACACAAGGGTAGAGATCGTGAACAGCAGTGGCCTAGTACCAGGGCAACGGGTATGTGTGAGAAGTGAATGATTCCTCTTCTCACTCTGTTGATCCTGACTCCTAGAATACACCAGGGAGACCATAATAACTTATTCTTTCAGAGGAGACTTCTGGGAGTGGTACTAATTCTGTGGYACTAATTCTCCAATCATTCAGGTAGTGCAGCACCTCAGTATCGATACGTCTGCTTTAAAAGAGTATCTATCTGGCAATCTATCTAAAATGCAGAACAGAGATGAATACAGCAAAACCCAGTCGAGTGTGAAGTTTGAGGGTGACAGGCAACGGAGGTTACAGGTAAGTGCTAGCGTAGACTGGATTTGTTGTCCCGGTTCTGGTGCGTGTACCATGTATTCATAAATCTCAATCTATTAAATGAATATGCAAAATATTTCTCCTTTACCTTCCAAATGAAAGCATCCATTCGGAATTCACTTAACCCACTCCTTAGTAGGAACTCTGAATCCACGCTGATCTCAGCCTTGCAGGAAAGAGCATGAAGCTCTGAGGAGACAGTTCTGCAGATGTGCTTGCATCTCCCAAGTCACCTGAGGCTTACTCCACGACCTAACACTCCCACAGCCAGGTGTGCACCTGATCCACAAAGCGCACTGGGATCGTTAGCCCCCTGTGTTCTCTTGGTCRGGAAAGCAAGGCCACTTCAAGGAGCACAGGGAAGTGAGACACAAGGCAGCCATGCTTATAAATGCAGTTTTGTGGGAAAAAATGTCAACCTGAGTGAAAGAGGGCTGAGGTTCACTGTTTCTGTTTTATTTCTTCTTTGTTTCAGTAGTTTTATTCTACCCTGGTTCCATKAGGCCTAGTCCCAGTAAAAACACTACTGAGACTTTTGTCTGCCTCTTAATTTTGTCTGCCACAAAAGAACAGACCACAAAACACCACCATTGCCAAAGCATCACTAACCAGTTTCTATCTCCGTCTATTTTTTATCTACTACCTGTCCATCTACCTCCTCTCTACCTCCCTTCTTCCCCMCACCTCAACATCTTTATATCAATCTTTCTGTGTAACAATGAGAGATATACAAAATGGCAAAATGTAGTGTTCAAAGAAAAATGTAATGCAAAAAACCAACCCACAGTACAGTGAAGTATAATCTGCATACATTTTCTATATATTTGACACACAGTAATCACTTTAGTCAATGTATATTTTCTGTTACACAAAACCCACCCACCAACCAGAGAAATGTGTGATCCTGAGACCATGTAAMTAAATTGTTCATTGAAACTGATGAGGCATTTCTTTAATAAGCCCTAGCTTTACTGGAAATTCATATCAGACACCTCATAGAGAATTCCAGTCAGTTAGCGTTTCTTGCTCAATAGGTAAATTAAGATCGTCCTTTAAGGGTCTCGGGCAAAGTTCTAAGCTATTTTAACACACTCCAGTATCTTTCTTGGATGGGTGTGAAATGATCTTTGAAGTCGAATTTCAGTCTAAATGTCAGCTCTCTCTTCAGAGAAAAGTTTTAATTATGCTACCATCAAAACAACTGTCTCCTGTTTACTTGAAATATATACCAAACCATTGACAAAAACCAAAGTTATTATTTCACTGAAAATTTATTCCTATTCCTATTCACCTCATACTTTTGTTTRCTTAGAAATCTGATGTTTTAAATTTCCTCATTCAAATATTCCAAAGTTTTAGTTTTCTTTGAGTGAATATCAATATTTACATATGTATATTTATGACTAAATTTTATACTTTAAGTGAATATTCTCATTCTAATCACAGGAAAGGGAAAAATTAATGTGACAAGATCATAACTCAGAGTTTTYCTGTGGGATTCTGCTCTCTGCAGAAGCAAGCAGAGATCTGAGAAGCTTATCTTCACTTTCTCATTCTTAAAACCGCCAAACCAGTTCCCTTTGCTTTTCCCAATCCTCTAATTTTTATTTTATCATTTTTTTCTCATAAAACTACACAATACAACAAAACAACAACTGTGTCTGAAATACAATCATTACAGGTAATCAAACTGGCCATAGAAGACCCTTTAAACTACAACTGTAAAGGGCCATTTRAAATATAAAATGCATTTGCCTTCAGGAAGTGGCTAAAATCATTCCAACTACCTTTCCTTGTGGAATAGTTCTTCAACCACACATTCTCATGGATCAARTTCTGTTGGTCTACGCTTCAAATTTTGAAAAGTGAACATTGCTCTCAAAACATTCACATTATGTTAATTTACTTATCATAGAATTTTTGCAAAACCTTTAGTGTTGTTCATACAGACAAAAGCTAATGTCTGGCAGGAGCCAACACTTGGAATGCCTAACCACGCTCAAGGTCATGACTGGCCATTGCTTCACCAGGTATTAAGTGTTTGCCTGTTACGTTGAAGCCTCTGATGTGCAGTTACTGTTTGCTAGATGAGTAAATGTGCACTTCAGCCTTATTTTTCTTAGGCTGAAAGCAAAGTCCTCTTCCAGTGTGGGTCAGCTGTTAGTCAACTGCTTGTAGCCCAACCTTTTATTTGAAGGAAAATATTATTCATTTTAAAACCAAAGAGAAGGCATAGGAAGCAACTCCTGAGCAGAGGTTTCTGCTGCTTTTGATCAAATATCCRCTGTCTATTAACTTGACACCTCACAAGTCATTCCCATATTGTTAATTAGTCATCAGGGGAAATAGAGAAGCACTGTGTATACACTTGGCCCCCTCCCCCACGCCCTCCCTGAAGGGTTTCCTGGTTGAGGYTTTCTCTGAACCTCAAAACTTCTGTGGGGAGGTTTATGCAGCCTGTTATTACTGAGCCTGAAGTCAGTCCTGAGCTGGTACTTAATCCTGTTAAGGGAAAAAGAYGCTAAAATAGAATTCCTTTGTAAAACACAGCATGAAACAGATCTCAGCATTAGCTTTTAGCTCCTGATAATGTGTTTTGTCAAGGTCTTGTGCCAAATTGGATCCTTAGCTCTCACAGTAATTTTTGGAATAATTTTTACCACAAGCGTATGAAATTACAGCTTTTAAAAGGCAACTGTGTCTCTCGGAGTTCCCACTGTGGCCAGTGACAGCCGATAAATGAAAATGGAGGAAAAGGAGCCCTGCAAATGCAGAGCAATTTGCAAGACTGCTGGTCCACCTGGGAAGCTGATGGCAGTCAGGGCTGCTCGGCTGTTTTTAAAGTTACTTGCCTTGCAAACTGTAGATTTCTCCAACGCTGTTCTGACGCGTGATGTGATGCCAGTATGCGCTACGAGGAAGAGAGATGGATTTGGATAAAGTCATGGGCTCCGTCAAGCTTGTCTGAAGCTAAGAGAGAAAGAAAAGAGATTTAACTGGAATCCGTTTTGTTGAGGACTGAATTTGAGTAGCAGAGAGTAGAATCGGTTCTAGATGCCAGCACCGTTCCTGACTTAAGGGCAATTTTTAAAAAGCAATGTCTTTACTCCAAAGTTTTGAAATTAACACTTGTACCCAATTAAATTCATTAACTGGGAAGGGAGTATTAGGTAGTCAATTGATTCCACCCAAAATTGGCTCACAAAGGCTGAGAGCCAATCAATCAGGAATGCCAGCAAAATTCCAGGGAGATAGATGATCAACTGTATTCCACCAGAAAAATTAATTTGCATTTCTGTGAACAAGAGCTACATGCATTACTCTCAGCCTTCTACAACTTAAAGAATGGCAAAACCCCCTCAAAACATGAAGCTGTAAGCTCTTCAGAATCAGATACCCCAGAACACGACACCCGGGAATCATTTTTCTGCATTTTAGTCCCTTCCTAACACTCCTTCCCTCGGACAATGTCTTCTTCTCTCAAACATCTTTTTCTTGCTCCTATGATGGGAACTTATGCAGATTAATCAAGTTTTTTCTCGAAGAAATGGTAATAAAAGATAGGTGCTTTTTCTTATTTGAAACATACATTTTAAGGATAGCAGAAGGGACTCGCACATATCACATCACTTGCTCAGGCATATGCTAAGTACAAACAAAACAGTAGTTCACATTGAAGGTGTCAAAAAGATTCATTTTTATTGATTCATACCGGGTCTTAAAAACCTTAGAGAAGTGGATGGGTTTGATCTTTGTATACATTTCTCGGACACCTGAGCAAACACGGGCTTTTTGATAGACAATGTGAATTCTCTAATGAATAAAAATTGTCATATTCTCCCTTACTTTATTCCTGACTTGGCAAAAATCGGAGTTTTAAAGGTCATCTCTGTCAAATCTAGCCTTGGACTCTCACAGTGCCCAGCCCCACCCATGGTCAATTTCACATTCCTTATCTAGCATCCGGTGGGACTCTTCATATGAGATTACTGTCAGGAAAGCACCTGGTGTGAGGTGACAGGCCCTTTAAATCCACACAAAGCCATCATTTTTACATTTTAAGGGAAGGTGTAGTCAGAGTTTGAAGGTGCCAATTTGATTTTACTTTTTCTGGTGGAAAGACATTTCCAGAACTGCTCTCTCTTCTATCTCTAGTCACAGAGTGTTATCCTCCATCCACTTAGAAGTCTGGCATTATCGAGGGTATTTTTTAAAAAAGATGGCTCCAAATAGCAGCTTTGCAACCAATTCTTACATTTTCCAGAATTTGGCATATTGCAAGCTTTCCTCCTTATGAACAAGCATAGGTAGACTTTCCTCAGCATCCTCCTGCCATTGTGGGAGGAGCTAAGGAGAAGGTGAATCTGGGTTTTCATATGGCAGAAGTTTGGACTCTTTGGGACGTGATTAACATCTGCATATCCAGTCTACCCTGCCGTGATGGTTGGAGAATTTCTGTGCATGGGGCTCCGTGTGAAGGACACACCAGGACTGAAGTTCATCACCCCTGCTCCCCAAGAACACAGACAAGCCTCATTTTATGAGAGTGTTAGTGGGAGAAAAGGCTTTTTTGCTTTTAAAGCCAGTTTCCCACATGAGGCCCAAACTTAATTAAACACATAAATCTTTAGCTTATGTCCATTAATAGCATCAATTAATTCATAAAATGAATCTTCTATTAATCACAGTTCTGTTTACTGCCTAACTATTCTTTTTTAATGAATTATAATTTGTTTATTACTTAGCATACAATAGATCTTTCTGAAATTTGATGAGAGTGATTTTCCTTCCATTTTTTCTGTTCTGGGAAATATCCCCTGCCCCCCCAATGATCAGTCTTAAACATTATGGAAACACAACAAACATTCTGTTTGCTGGAAACAAATAACTGGAAACCTCTGGGGAATAACTCCCTCCATGCAGTGTCCACCTGGATCACCCCGTGTTCCTCTAGTTCTYCCTCCTCACGCTGTCAAGCCCTAGAAGCCCTTGTATGGTATCTAGTTCTTCATTTGTTTCTTTGGTTTCTCTTTATCTTACCTTCATATTTAGTTGCAGAAAAAGATTTTGTGTTTAAAACCRGACTGTGGATTTTCTGGGGATCTTTATGCATCTTGTGCACTACATCCCAGGCCTCGTCCTCGACACCAGAGGGTCAGTCACCATTCATGCCTGCTGTGCACGAAGCACTGCGAGGGACTGAATAGCATCCCCGAAATTTTTGTGTKGAAGCCCTTACTCCATTGAAGACAGGGTCTTTGAAGAGGTTAATTAAGGTTAGAGGAGGCCATAAAGTTAAGATCTTAATCAAAAAAAGGTCTTCATATGAGAAGAAGAGACCCCAGGGATTAATGTGAACAGTGAAAAGACTGTGAAATGACACAGCAAAAAGAAAGCCATCTGCAAGCCCAGGAGAGACACCGGGAGGAGCTAGCCCCTCCGCAATGTGGATTTGAACTCTGTCTCCAGAACTGTTAGAAAATGAACTTGTTGGCTAAGCACCCAGTCTGTGATCTTTTGTTTTGGCATTCTTATCAAACTGATGTAAGTCTTCTGTGCTGCGGACAGTCTAATAGAAAATGTAGCATCTGTCTGATTTGTCCAGTGGTTTTTAACTTTGTTGTTAACTTTAAGCCATGGGACTTTAAACCTTTCTGACTGGAACAGTGATGGAGACAAGGTCTCACTGGTTCAAGAACTTTTATTAGAGAATTTCATTAGTTCTCATTTTAAACTCCTGATAAAAYTCTTGGTGAAAGAATTCAACAAGAATATATATAATCATCCTTAACTATTTCATATTATAACAGGCTTCAGGTGAAAGTATCAAGACAAAAATAAGCTTTAAGTTACTATGGTATTATAGTACTTTCTTAATTGAAAGAACATTGCTTCAATATGACCTGGAGGATTTTTAGGATCCTAAGAGTAAATATATAAAAAAAGATGGGAAAATCTATATTTATAATGAGAACAAATGTCTATGTTTTTATACAAAAAAGAGAAAAAATGCATTGTGAGATCATTTCTAAGCAATTATTGTGTTTTTTAAGAAATTAAAGGTGGACCTATGTCTGTCAAATTACTTTGTTCCTTCTCTGGGATGATCTGTGTTAGTCCTTATGGTGGCATTAGTTAAAAATTGCTAAACAAAACAAAACAAAACTACAAAATCCTGCAGAATTCCCTCAGCATTAACTGTGGGCTCTTTCCTGCAGGCCACATTCTCTGCTTCTCCATTTGCATAGACAGGCTCAAGATTCAGAAAGAGTGCCTCCGTGCAGATGCAGAAATCAACTGGATACAGAAACATTTAATGGATTCTGAGACACTTGCCCAAACTTTCTACCATTTTTGGCTCTAACCCCATCTTTGTTGCATTCTTTTGAAACAACTGTTAGATCTCTGGAATACTGAGCAATGAATCAGAAGTCACTTATTTGTTGTATCCAAAAAGAGTAGAGATCACAGTTCAATAAGGTCCAGAGAGTAGTGAAAACATTTTTGTTCTGAGGGTTGCACATCTCTCAGAGCCAGCCCACAGCCGAAGAGCATGGTTGTTTGCTCCAAGCGAGCTCCGCAGAAATTAAGATAGTACCTTTATTTATGTTCTGAGTGAACTACACAGAAATTGAGATAGTACCTTCACGAACTTACTCACGTGTATAAGGACTTTGCCTTCCTCAAGACAATGAGAAAGGAAAACACAAAGATATTTACAGGACTCTCATAAAGATATGAACAAGGCTGGGCTGGGCTGCTTTTGATCACTCCCATTTATGCAATAAATAATAAAACAGATTTATTTATTGGTAAACATCTGAGACCTGTAGATGATATCAAAGAGAGCTGTCCATAGCATTTCCTGCTGCAATGCATATCCCCTCTCTCCTGAACTTCAGGAAACTTAATGCCTCCTGGTTGAAAGGGTAGTGGTCAGGAAGCAGTTCTTTTGGAGTCACGCAGGCTTTGCATTTCTTTGACAACCTTCATTCCTACTGACTTTTCAAGTAGTTCTGTACAGCAAACAGCCTTACAAGCCCATAGCTGTTGAGACTTGGATGCTGATCTTTCCTGAGAAAGATGAGTTTCCTCCTCAGCTYTTTGCCATGTGGGACAATCCAGCCCTGAACTTGGAGAGTACCTGCATCGCCCGGAAGGGGGAGGGACAACTATTTTTGTGATGGTCCTGGCTACCAGCCCCTCTTTGTGGTTCTACCAAATAAATAAATATGTGTATGTATGTGTATGTATATATATATATATATATATATATATATATATATATATATAATTTGGGTTACCTTATTACTTTTTCCACCTTGCTGTTTTGAGACTTTCCCTCTGTGATGAGCATTAGTATTAATTTGTATTCATCTATTTACCTTCCCAAAATTCACCTGTACATAAGGTAACTGCCCAGGCTGGAGACGTAGCTTGGTGGTGGAGCAGCGCTGGTCTAGCATGCACGAGACCCTTGGTTTCCTCCACAGCTTCACACACACACACACACACACACACACACACACACACACTTCCTTTCACTCTGCATCTCTCTAGTGATGACCTAGAAATTTGTGTTAGCCATTGTGACACAAATCTACACATTTGGGAGAGATGAAATTCAGCATTTATGAATCAACAGCTGTGATTCATTCACTTATTGCCTGGCAATGTGTGAGCTGGTTGCACATGCGATCCCACCGAACGTCCACATAAATCATCCATATGCCATCCCGGCTTCCCAGAGAGGACAGAAGGTGCAGAGGGACGATGCCTCTGCTCACGGAGCACAGCCCCAGCAGTGCCTCCGAGGCTGCAGAGCTGTTCTTCCCTCATCACAGAACTCGCTCTGAAGTTGCCACCAGCACCCCCATCTTCAGGAGCAGGTGAGCYGAGGACAACGCCCACCCGAATTCCACAGGACCAAGGCAGGAYGTCCAGCGCCTCTTTCCCGCGGCCTGTGGGCA